TCATTAATACCAGCGCTCTTTACTACATTAATTTATTAAGCAATGCCAATGACGTATACCTTAACCCTAATAAACTAAAGCCTCGTCCAAACGGACGCAACATTGTTGGCCAACAACTCCCAACAAAGAAGAATAAAGATCAAGATGTAAATCAGATTCCTGGTACTTCATAGTGTAGACAGCGAGTTGCTTGAACACACCCCCACACATCTAACAATGTTGGAGAGTTGTCGGCCAACAGTGTTTTGTCCGGACTATTGCACGGGGCTTAAGTAATAGTCGGTAAAACTGCAGTTAATACAGTATTAACGGAAAACACTAGGAAAGTACATTATATTGTCGAGACTAAGACGAAATAATTAGGAGTTGTGCATTATCAAATGCACTCTTATCGTCACATATCTCATTTTTTCAGTATATCAGCACAACAGGAGCTCGAGTGTGTTTAAAAGAGTTGTACGAGTCAAAGTACGACCCTCTCTCAGTATCATATACTGTCTTGTCAGGTAAGAACAGGTTTATGGAATTGTCGTTTTAGTAACACGTAGGTTTTACTGATTACTCACAACTAATTCATTATGAATGCATAAAGAGATAACTCAGATAGGAGGGTCATTTCATTAATAGAGGAAGGCGATCATTTTAGATATTAGCTGCCTGGAAGTCGTTCAATGTTTTTGCTACTGATTATTCCATTTAATCAGTAGATACTGCTCTGAATTTGGCGTCGTTAGTCTTATTTTCCTCTTTTCCTCCCGCTAAGCGTATCGGCCGCACAAGTAGTTGGGATGATGTTCGTGAAGCTGCCTCGTCCCCAGTCGCTCGCGTTGCTTGCCTCCATTTCTCGCGCCTCTCGATTGTTCTGTTTTTCCTACTAAGCCTTGGGAAAGCCTGTAGAAAAGGCACTCTTTAAGGGAGCAAATGTGTGAGGATTTCTAAACTGCACAGTCGTTTTATATCTTTATCACAGATATTTGCCAGCCAAGATGGAGTTATTTTGGTGGCTACTGTTACTTCACAAGTCGTGCATGCGCCTCGTGGCTGATGGCTGAATCAAACTGTTCTACGATGAGTTCCAATTTGGTAACGGTTCACAATCAAGAAGAAAATGTCTACATTCAACACCGTCACAACGGAGAGAGATTTTGGATTGGACTCAATGACCGAAGTGTGGAGGGCTCTTTTGTGTGGACAAACAAAGAAATAAGTAGTTTTAGGTTCTGGGCCCCACAGCAACCGAACGACTGGAAAAACGAAGACTGTGTTCACACTCTCGGCGCCAGGCATGGTTACAGTTGGAATGATGTGCCATGTACTAACTGTTACAACTACACTTGTTTTAAAGGTAATAAGCGTAGCACTATGACGATTTATAACCGTATATTTCTTAATCTTCATGTTCCTGATAGTGAATCTACTGAATTAAAACTACATTCAAAAAGGTCGAAACACAATTACAGCATGTTAGGCAGATGGTTAGACAGATGGAAGAGAGGGTAACACCAATCAGTTTCATTATTAGAAAGATAGGGAAACAAGTCGTATACATTTGCAGTAAAAACATGTCCATTGACCTAAAAATGGCCGGAAAAGCCTTAAATCGGCGTAATCAAAAGAAGAACGAGAAAGAGTTCATACGTTGGAACCACGGAAAAAGTCGCGCTAACCTCCGCTTACGAACATAAGTACATACGTTAACTCAGGGCACGCTTACGACCCTTTTTTGCAAGTTCCTTTTTTCAAACATTTTTTTTTTTTTTGCCTTGCCAGTGTACGTCAATTACCCAACTACACCACAGTAAATTCTTTTTAAACAAGTTTCATTAACTAGAAAAGTCATGTTGTTTGACAAGAAGCCTCTGTGTGCTTACTTTTTAGACTTGGACGAATGTACCACTGGTTCCCATTCCTGTGACGTCAATTCCGTTTGCCAGAATACCGTGGGCTCATACAAATGTTCGTGTAATGCTGGGTACACAGGAGATGGAAAACCTTGCAATGGTATTTGAGATACAGTTGATCCAGAATAAATTGTTTTTCAAAGAGACGACCTACTCTGATCTGAAGGTTCTTAAAGACGACGAAACCATTGAAGGTGCAATGGTTGTGTGCAAAAGCTCAAAACTGTCATGTCATTTTGGAGGAAAAGCCTAGAACCATATTTGTTAAAACATAAAAACAACAAACAAACAAGAACAACAAAATGGATACATTTACCTTAGCGACCAGATGTAAACCATCAGGTAGATTTAATATTAGTTATTCTAACGCTTTACCTAACGTACAATTCTCATGCAGATATCGACGAGTGTTCTATCAACTCTCACAGCTGTGGCGTTAATGCGGTTTGCAGTAATACTGTTGGATCTTACGCATGCGCATGTAAAGCAGGATTCACGGGCGATGGGAAAACATGCTCTGGTAAGCTGCTGCGGTGTTGTAAAAAACGCTTCCAAAACGATGTGCGTGTCTGTTTTTTCTATACTCGATCCTTACGTTTAAACATGTAGAAAACGATGGACATAACTTTTAATCATTGGTTCGAAATAATAATTAACGTAAAACTAGAAATACGTATCTCGCAAAATTTCACTAAACTCGGTCTCGCACAGCCGTTTAGAAACTGATTAGGTGACTAGGCTCTTCTCTATCGTAAGACCTGTGACTCCTTTCTCTCCTGTCTTCTTTTCTGTTTCATTATTCTATTTGATTTTTAAATGCGTATTTTAAAGCATATTTAGGATTATTTGGGCTTAACATCAAATCAAAGGTAGATTTTGGGGACGTTCAAGGTTTCTCCCGTAAAACCCGAACTGAAACGCACGTCCGACAAGCATATCTTAACGAAATTGATCTTTAGTATGCCAACTGAACAAACAGGGTACTTTGCTGTTATAATTAATAAAAATTCGCATTGAATCGTTATGCATTTCAGAAAGGAATTTTCTCCTTCGAATACTCCCTCTTACAATAGCTCGTTCTGCTATAGAGCTAAGAGAAAGTCTCAACTATAAGCTATCTTAAGACGTTCTCGCCTTTTGAGATTCTTTTCTTTCGAACTGTGTTTATTACGTGTAGTTCAATGTTTTCCCCTCCTTTTATATGTAAAAAAGGGATGAAAAATCGGATTACCTATAGTAGTTAAGCAGGGTTAACGCATAGAGAAAATGTAAGTAAATGACCTTTAGTTATTGACTAGAGTTTGTTGCATCACTAAACAAGAAGGCTTCCTCACTTTTTTCGCCAGATATCGACGAGTGCTCTACCAACTCTCACAGCTGTGACGCTAATGCGGTGTGTAGTAATACTGTTGGATCTTACGCATGCGCATGTACAGCAGGATTCACAGGGGATGGATTCACATGCACTGGTGAGCCGTTTGGGTTTAATTTCGTTTGTATGATATGTTCGCTTTTAGATTGAACAGCAACGACAGCAATACGAGAGTCTTTTGTGCTCTCCTAGCTTTTTACGGTTAAAGTTTTGGTTTAGCAGGAGTTTAAATCAATTTTAGTATTGACTGTATGTAGTAAGCAAATAGAAAAGCGCAGCCAAGCAGCCAGTTAATATCATCGGATACGTGGAACGAAGGTGATTGTTCAAGCCTGCGATCATCTTTTTTAGGCCTAATAATAAACACAAAAAAAAACTACCGAATTCTGATTGGCTGCAGAGAAAGGAGTGCAGTTCTTCTGTTACACGAGTGCAAATTTGTAACACGAGTGCAGATTACAAACGGTTTCTGATTGGTTGAAAACAAAAAAGAAACCACCAAGAACCAATCAGATTAGGGCTGTTTTAACAACAAAATTTAAGAAAATGGCCATGTTTTTCAGCAAACAAAGATTTGATTTCATGTACGCAAAACAACAATAGAAAAGTTAACAAAAATTCCAAAAACTCAAACACGGTAAAAAAAAAAAACGTCTTTCTGGCTAAATGTATTGAAAATGCGGTGCCAAGAGAAAAATACTGTCAACAAAATCGAGGAAAATGAGCCAGAGAAACTAAACAAGCTACTTATAGCGGGGCTCCCGCGCGCGAAGCGCGCGTGGGACAGAGCCCCATACTCATGGAATATGGTCAACCTCTTTTCGTTTGGTTGTCACGTGACTGACCGAGCGTACGTACGTACGTACGTACGCGTCTACAGATTGTACGGGTAGGGTAGGGGAGACTATCAAAAGGAAGGGAGGGGTGTCTCAGGCGTGTCTTGGCAAGCCCTCATCTTTTATATATGACACTCACAATATGGTCAATTGACAGCTGTCAAAACAGGATAGCCACTGACCAGTATCCCATACCATATCGTGGGCTCATGTGTCAACTCATCGAGGTGACGTGATTTATTTGGAAGCTGTCCGCTGACCAGTTAATTGTTTTACTAGATCGCGAACAATGTTCAATCATACTTTTTAACTAGTTTGGGAGCACAGGAAAACTGATACACATATTGGACTTCAATGTTGTGATCAATTGACAGCTGTCACAACAAGGTATCCGCTGACCGGTATCACTTGTGCGAATCGCGGGCTCAGGTTTCGACCCATCGAGGTCACGTATTTTTTCGAAGTTATCCGCTGACAAGGTACTGGTTTTCAAATGATCGCAGGCAAGTTTAATTTTTTTGTAAAAAATTTGTATGAAATATGTTGTGTTTATGTGGCGCACAATTAAAATTTTGATTTCAAACTGATCTCGGACGCGAAAATTCAGTCAGCTGCTACAGGCAGGGAAGACAGTTGCTTTTGACTTTTCTCACCATGTTCACGCGTTGGTCACGTTCTACGTCCAATTTTTATGCTCTGATTGGTCAAAATTTGACAGGTGAGTTCATGCGGAAAATTTATGCAGCATCTTGGGTCTTGTTTACTTTGACAGCGGAAGCTGACAGAGTTTTGTGTCAACTTGTGATTTTTTTAACTGTCCTTTTCCACTGGATGTACAAAATGAAATTCAGCTGCTGTCGGAAGTCTTCTGTTATCCATGGCTAGTTTGTT